TCATTCTTTAAAGATACAATGATCATATTTCATATTCATTTAAATTTGAATTTTTTCATTGAAAATTTTTGTATCAAATCAAAATTTTTACTCAAAAGTTGACTCAAATTTGAATAAAAAATGAGTCAAAAGCGAGAGATGGTGTTATAAGGTATTTAAAATAATTTAAAAAATCATAAATTTGACTTTTAAGGAAATATTAATTGTTTCACTATTATATATCTATAAAATATACGTGACTAATTAACAAATTGAGAATCAAGATTTAATTATTTAGTTAGCTTATTAATTCTTTTTATCAAGAGATATGGTGTAATTAACATATTTTTTTACTTTTTTTTTTTTACATTTAATAGTAGATACTACTTAAAAACACCAATGTATGTGTATCTTCACAATCAAATGGATTAGAATTAAAAATTGTATATATTATTCTGCACATGCACTTTCTTATTCAAAATATATTTTTTGTAGAGACGTATGGGTAAAAAACCTAAATATTTTTTTATTATTAAATATATATGATTTTGTAGACAATACATATCAAATATTCGACAAATATTGCATCCGTTGCAGCATCCAAGGCCATGGACTTTTTATGAAATATCTGTGTTTTATATTGCATTCAATCTAAATTAAACATCTATGGACATGTTTGTTTTAGGTATTAAAAGGATGGATTGGATTAATTTATGTTTTGTTTGGTATGATTAAAAAAGCAAAAGGGTAAGAAGTTAGAAGAATAGATAAAATATTATGTTTTAGTAAGGAATGAAAATAGGAATAATGAAAATTTAATAGATTAACCTTCATTCTAATTCATCAAAATCTGCCTCTCTAAAATTATAATTAAAAATGAATTATGTATTTATGTATTATTTACATGTATATCTCTATATCTATATATAAATTTATGGGAAGATACAAAATCTATTACATATTATATACACATAAAATTTATATTTTCAGATGCAATCGTATTCTCAATATTTATATTCTCCATAGTATTGATAATCACGTTCTTATAATAATAAATTTATGCTCTCTATGTTGATTAAAACTTATTACGTAAGTATTGATAATAATACTCTCATTAATATCATTTGTATGAATTGGATCGCAATCAATTAATCAATCCCATCTTTTGTTCACATCCACACAAATTTGTAGACTACTCCGCAAGCATGCAGCCAAGACAAGTTACGCATGGCACTAACGTCTTCCTTCGCGCCCTCTAACACCGCCACGTCCTGTCAAAGGTGGCAACAACCCACCTCTCTCTCTCTCTCTTTCCCCTAACCCTTCACAACCATGAACACTCCCTACACATCCTTTGCAGCACCCTGACTCTCTCTTCTCTCTCTAAAAGTGATGAACGCAGAAAGCCTTCTCGCGTCGGCGGCCATCAACATTGGCTTATCACTGTTCATACTCTCTCTTTTCTCTATCTTGAAGAAAAAACCTTCGAATGCCCCAATTTACTATCCCCGCCGTCTCTCTCTTAACCTTGACATTCCCATCCACCGGTTGCTTCCGTCGGTCGATTGGATTAGGCGCGCTGTTTGGGTTCCGAGGAAGAAATTCTTGAGAACTGTGGCCTCGATGTTCTTGTCTTCATCAGACTCTTCAAATTCGGGTCAGAAATTTAATACTGAGTGTCATAAATTCCATCTAGCATTGTTTTAGTTTGGCTATGAAACAAAATTGAATTGTTTGTTGTTTTGGTGAAAACAACAGGAAGTGTAGTTGGTTTGTTGTAGCAATAAAATTATTTCGATTTTGTATATTTATCAATGTATTTGATTTCTTGGTAAGACTACCTCAAATATCAAGAAGGTAACTGCAAGACAGTAGTGAAAATTTGGAAGTAAAGAAGGATAAAATTGAAAGAGCACACACCTCGTGCGTACCTTCTTCAAGAACATTATGTACACAAATGGTCATGTATAAGGTGGTGAAGTTATGACAATTAATATAGAGCAATGCTATAGGGTAATAATGTGGGGACCTAATTCAATGCTGCTATTTGCGTAGTCTACTCCAACATAATTGATTAGGTCTAAATATCATTTTCCATTGATATATGTTTTAATGTGGTGGGACGGTAGGCTGGGTCGTACCCAACACACATAACAGATGTTTATAGGGAAGTAAATAAACTTACCTAGCAGTTTATAGGAAAGTATAGAAAAGTTAAGTTGTGAACAGTTCATTCTTTACACCTATTTTATGTAGATGTTGGTTCTGATTAAAAGACTTGAATTCACGACATATTAAGTTCTATATATGTTTAGTGAACTGCCATGGAAATGAAATAGAAGTGGTGAAGAATGCCTAATTACCACCGATGAGGGATATGGAATGGTGGCTTCTATTTTTGACCAATACACACATACCATCACTCTAGGTCAGTGTGATTGTAACATTATCACAATGTAGACTCTGATGAAAAGTAAGCAGCTGATTGGGGCGAGAGAGTATCAGTCTTGTGTTGTTCAACGTTAGGTGTACCTAAGATATGCAGCCTCGAAATGAATTGCCTATTGAAAGAAAACATCACGGGAAAACAAAGGATAATGCTTGAAATATATGAGGATCCTGATCATTTGAAGCAGGTTGGAGAATGGAACTTTTTAAAACTACCACACCTTCTATCTCTTCCTTTCATGGTTTATTTTCTCTTATGGGTCATATAAAAGTCATTCCTGATATTTAATGTGAACTCATTTTTCAGGATCAATTTCTTTGTGGTTTGCTCTCTAGTTGGATTATTAGTTCTTCTCCCACTAAATTATACTGGCAATGAAGACCCTAGTTCCATGGACTCATTTACAATATCCAATATTACTAACGGCTCTAACAGGTAAGCTTGTCAGACTTTGCATATGATTTTATTCATAGAAGTCAAAAACTGAGACAAAATGTCTATCTTGCATCTTCTCAGTTTTGTCCTTCCCTCTAGATTTAGTCTATGTAGTTACCATTATTTACTACCTTTGCTAACAACTGATGGATTCAGACATGTGGCGGTAACTAACTTCCGTAAGTTGAAGGGGAACAGATCTTATACCAGAGCTTATTATCTTAAGTTTATTAACATGTTCATAACAATCATATATATGTTTAATCCATCAACTTTTACAATTTAAAGCTCCTTTCTGATTGCAATAATACACTATTGAGGAGGAGGATATGATAACATGATAATGTACACCAACTATTTCCTTTTCATTTATCTTTTCTGGTAATGAAAATGTTTTGGGTGGCCTAAATTTTATAAAGGGTACAATGGATGATTTAAAAATTGACAGTATGACGTTATTATACTATTGTTCTTCACCAATAGCTTGATACTAGGAGGACAAATCTATTTTATCAACAGGGCAATTTATTTTTTGGAAGGCCAGGTGCAATAATAAAACCTTTGGGGACTTGGAGTGGTGTTCAGTTTCCTTTTAATTCACTCATGGTTGGCTTGTTTAAAGGGTTTACTCTTCAAAACTTTTTCAGTGTGTACCTATAAGCCCTTCTCTGATCTTTCAACAACATTTTGGTGTTTAGAGCAAACATTTTAGGACCCAAACACAGCTCATCTAGTTTGGTAATCTGAAGAGAGCTACCCAGCACTGAATGTTTCAATGCATTGTTTTGGTCACTTAGGAAAAAGTAAACATTTCAGAAATGTTTCGAAAATATTTAAGAAATAGAGAAAAAAAATGGATAATTTGTTTCCTAAACATTGGTCAAAACACCCCAAAACATTCTGAAACACTTCAAAATATATGAATTTTAATATTCAATCACTGATTCATTTTGATTTTTATGGAAACAAAAATATTTCGACCATTTCAAAACGAAATTTAAATCCTTGCTTGAGGGGATGTTCCAATATGATAGGCCTTGGTAGTTGGCGGGCCAAGTCTTTCACACAATTGAATTCTCCAATTTATTTTGGTTCAGCTCCACTTTGTTTGTCTATCTATTGAGTTCAGTTTGTTAGTCAGACTCAGAGCTATTCCACATCAAAAAATAAGTAGATCTAAGGCTGATTTAATATACTTAATAAACTTGAGAATAAACTTCACCTATTGCCAATTAGTTTTTGAATAATTAATACTGTATTATCTTAATGCAATTGGTGAATACGCATTATTAACATTGTTATCTTATGCAATTAGAGATTGTTTGGTATTCATTGGTGCAGTTTATGGATATGGATAGATGCCCCCCCTTCTCTTTTTCCTCCCGTCTACCCTTCTTTTCCACCCTCACTGTTTTACAAGTAGATGGAGATTGACTACTTATTCAAAGGGGAAGAATGAAGCAGATGTACCTGTTTTAAGCTATGTACAGGATCATCTTTTATTCTTTAATGACATGCATATAGCATTTATGTTGGTCTAAGTTGATGATATAAAAATCATACCTGGAAGTGAATTGATAAATAGAGTTTGCCACAGTTCTTGATTTATGGAAATTACTACTTATGCCATCTTTAGAGCTTCTACATTGAGCAAGTTGACTAACATTTCCAGTTTTGTCTCCATGAATGAGAAAATTTTATTTCAGCAAAACATAGAAGCTGCTGCTTTCTCTATTCTGCATGTCAATTAGCATAAGAGATGCAAATTTTTAAAGTTTGATGCATAAATATGGTTTTATTTATTCCTGTACTTTTTCCCATCATCTGTCTAATGTCCTTAGATTTTCAGTTGGTTATAGAATAATTTTTTCAATCTTAACTACCTTCTGAGCCAGCCCTCACAAAAGGTTCTTTCTATTTCACAGGCTGTGGGTGCACTTTTCATGCTTATGCTTTATATCCTGTTATGGATTATATCTGTTGTACAAGGTAATATTCGATTAAGATACTTGCGATTATAGTTTAACTTACTATTTTCAGGTTGCATTTGTGGCATGTTGTTGCTTGCTCAGAGAGAGTGTTATAATGGTGGATCCCTGCCAGGGGTAACCAAGTAGTATAGAAAGACCTCGACCATGGAATATGTGTCACTTTTCCTTGATCAAGATTGTATTTGATACCATTCCTTTCTGTATTCAGATAGTCATTAGCAACATTTTATAAGAAGGAATTAGATTTTAACTGTTTAAATAATCCCTGCTCATCTGTGGAAAGTGGAAACTCAAGTCCATGTTGGTGACTTTTCTCAGTACACAGAAGTTCATGTTTCTGTGTGTGCCAAATGTGCTGCAAAGTATATATAACAAACCTGGTGTAGAATATAGTGCAACTAGAAATATTTGTGAGTGAATGGGATACTCAAACTAAGAGTAGAGCCCCGTATATATAGCCAAATAATAATACACAGTGACCTAAACATCCTTGTAGTCTAGGCAAAATATAAAAGTCATAGTAAGGGTAAAAAAGGGAAAAGAAATCCTAATAAACTATATTATACTCTAACACTTCCCCTCAAGTTAGGCGCAAAAATATCAACTAAGCCAAGTTCGACAACCAAGTCCCGAAGAATGGATAGAGTGACAGGTTTGGTGAAAACATCCGCAACTTGATCAATGGTCCCCACAAATAATGGGGTGTCAATACCACAACAAACCTTCTCTCGAAGAAAGTGAACATTAATCGCTATATGTTTCATTCTCTCGTGTAATACAGAGTCAGAAGCGAGCTGAATAGCAGATCGATTATCACAATATAATGTAGATGAAGAAGTCACTGGAAATCCCAACTCGCCAAGAATCGATCGTAGCCAGATAATCTCACATGTGTCTAGCGCCAGTGCCCGATACTCTGCCTCTGCTGACGAACGAGAGACAACTGCCTGCTTCTTGCTCTTCCAAGAGATAAGATGAGTCCCTCGAAAAGTACAGAAGCCCGTAGTGGATCGACCGTCACATACTCTCCCGTAATCTGAATCTGAATCTGAATAACAGGCTAGAGAAACAATCTGAGATCCTGATGCATAGACCAATCCAAGTCTAGGAGAAGACTTGAGGTACTAAAGAATATGATAAACTGGATCAAGATGAAACTGACACGACTTGTGAATGAACTGACAAACTCGGCTGACAGCAAATGAAATGTCTGGCCTAGTGTTGGCTAGATAAATAAGTTTACCTACCAACCTTTGATAGACTGTTGGATCTCCCAGTTCCTCACCGTCAGCAGTAAGCTTCAAGTTTGGAATCATGGGTGATGATGTTAGTTTGCACCCCAGCATCCCAATGTCTGAGAGAAGATCCAAGATATACTTTCTCTGAGAAAGAACAATATCCTTGCTGTTACGGGCAACCTCAATTCTAAGAAAGTATCGCAAAAATCTAACGTCCTTCACATCGAAGGCCTTTCCAATGTCTACCTTGACCTGCGTAGTCCTAGAAACATCATCTCTAGTAATAATAATATCATCAACATATAACAAAAGGATGACACACTGTCCTGAAATATTCCGTCAAATGAAGCAGGTATGATCAGAATGACATCTGGTGAACCCTAAATGTACAACTACACCATTAAAGCGAGAGAACCAGGCTCGTGGTGACTGTTTCAATCCATATAGAGACTTACGCAGCCGATATACCTTTCCTGCATATTCCCCCTCACCACAAAAGTCCGGTGGTGCATTCATATAAATAATCTCGTCTAGATCACCGTGA